TATATATATATACATATCTGTCTGCATGTAATCTTATTATACTAAAGCCTTTATTCATCATTTTTAAGGTATGACTACAGATAAAATGGATTATGCATAGTTTTGTGTGTTTGAGATGTTTTGGGTGTGTTTTGCTCACTGTTAGTCACTGTTACGTGACTAATTGCTCATTTACTGTATGTTGATTCATATTTTTTTGATAAATCATCTCATCTTCGATCCAGTTCTGCATCTTTCTCTGGACTGTCACAATCAATCACTCCCTTATTATCTGATTTTCGCAAAAAAAAAGTGTGCTGGCACTAAGTAAGTAGAACATTTATGACTCGATTACGCCTGTTAATTGATCTACAGTTGTAAAAAGATTATGAATACGGGTTTAATTTTTATAATTCTATACTTTCCAAACTCTATATGTTAAAAACACACATTGGCACATTTTTTTAATATATAGAGTTGGACAGTGTGATGATATGATACTAAAATCAATTTTTATAATCTTGTTGTTACTGTAATCAATTTATGTTTATGTATCAGTTTTATTTTAGTATCATTTAGATACTATTGCAGTTTTTAATAATATTTTGAATTCATTTATATTTCATTTTAGTTAATTTTTTGTCATTTTGTTTGTCATTTTTTTATTGTTCTTTTATTTCTTTATTTATTTTTACAAAATGTCTATATAGTTTTTATTCATTTTTCAGTTGAAGTTATTTTAGCACATCAAGTTAAATTAAGTGAGAATGAGAAATATTGTCTTGAAAATTAGCGGGGAAAAAAAACATTTACGTGTTATGAATTGTGTTTTAGTTCAGTTAACGTTTATTTTATTCAAAGTTAAAAATAAATAATGGTTTAATTTTTAGTAAACTATAATTAACCTGTTATGTAAGTATTTATTATAGTTTAGCAGTTATGACGCCATTCTAGTTAAAAGTACACTGGAGAACTACCTTGAGGAAAACAGGGACAAAATAATATCAAAAAATCCCCAAATGTTTGTTTGATCAGTACACAGGGTTCAGATGGAGCAAATATAATGAACTCAGTATAAAAGCAACAGAAGTGAATGGTAAATTCCCACCATGATGTAAAATCAGACGTGTGTGTTGTATTGTGTTCTCAGTACAGTTACGTGACTAATTGGCCACTTACTCTCCGCCGATAGATTATCTGACCGGGTCTTGTGGCCCCTGCGGCCCCTCTCGTCCCCCATCCATGCGTCTGTCTCTGGACGAGCACGGCATCGATCACACATAATCCGATTTCCCCCCAAAACAAATAATGAAGCGTTTCTGGAGCTTACCCTTTTAAGTAATTTAGCGATTCGTTCAAACTTGTGCGAATCGATGAAGTGGGTTTTGAAAGATGAATCTAATGAATTCCCACGATGCCCTAATGCATCTCAGCGAAATTAAAACGAACATTTGTGACGCTCAGATAAGCAGGATGGAGATTTTATCTGAATTGGAGCGTTTGGAGATGATGCCGTTATTTTAGACTCATCACACTAACTGCTCTAATTAGGTTTTCGATCATTTTATTTAGTCTCAGCTGAGACTCTGCCGAGAATTTGGGTCCGTCTGCTGCTGCTGCTGGTGTGTGTCGCGTTGTTTTACATTGTAATTAATTTCTTTATCCAAACAAAACAGTTCAAAGAACTTCCTGAAACCTACTCAGTTCATTTACAGTATTCAACTTTTTGCATCTTGCAGGTGATTATAAGTTTTAAAGACACACAGCTTATTTAAAAGTCCGGTTCATTTACTCACTAGGCCTGCATGAATTTATTTTCATCTGAAGAACGCAAAAGATTATATTTTGAAGAACATTGGGGGACCAAACAGCATTGGACCCCATTGTCTTTCATTGCATATACAAAAATTATATATTTTTTATTTGAAATGTCTTTGGGTGAACTGTCCCTTTAATTCTAATAGATAGAAAAATGATTATGGAAAATGTAATTATTAGACTTACTGTATTTGGTGCAAAAATGGTTGTATCTAAGCGGACCTCAGTGAAAATTGTTAAATGCTGCATAAATCAGGGCCATAAAGTAAATAATAAAATAATAATGAATAAAATGTAATAAAACAATATTACATTTAAATATGATAAATAACATAATTATGAAATTAAATAAACGTTTTTAGGCTAGTCTGTCTCAGCGCTCATCAGTGTCAAAATTATTGGTGGGGCTTTACTGTTCACAGTAGACTAGTGCAAATTCCAGCTCAACATCTCAGTTTTAACGCGGAAAGAGTGCGAGGTGAGATGTAAGGTAGCTAAACGTTTAATATCTGACTGTGTGACGACAGAAATGTGAAAAGACTGACATATAATATCCAGTGACGCAAGCTACTCTACTTTTTTTGTCGTTTTAAAGCAAAAGTTCACCTTAAAATGAAATTGTCCTCATTCTCATGCCATTCAAGATGTAGATGATCAGATTTGGAGAAATGTAGCATTGCATCAGTGTCTCAGCAATGGATGCTCTGCAGTGAATGGGTGCCGTCAGAATGAGAGTCCAAACAGCTGATAAATACATCACAATAATCCACAAGTAATCCACACCACTCCAGTCCATCAGTTAACATCTGGAGAAGACAAAAGCTGAAACACATCCATCATTAAGATGTTTAACTTCAAACCATTGCTTCTGGTCAAAATACAGTCCATAATCCATAATAACGCTTCCTCCAGTAAAAAAGTGTTCTGGTGTGAATCAAGAGAGAAATCTGCACGGATCAAGCACCATTTACAAGCCAAAACAGCTCGAAACAAATATGTGTCTGGAGTTTGATGTGAGAGACAACAGGAGATGGACGTTTTCACAGGAGGAAATGTTATTATGGATTATGGACTCATATTTTGTCCAGAATCAATGGCTTGAAGTTAAAATGTCTTAATAATGGATTTGTTTCTTTTTTTATTGCCTTAAATTCTGTTAAATTCTAGAAGGATTATATTATTTTATATAAAAGCGAACATTATCAAATGGTCATGAAACTGGTCCAGTTTGCTTCCCCACAATGTTCAAGACATGATTACAGCCTTGGCATAAATATGATAAATATATGATATGAGGCCATTAATAAATCATTAAGTTAAAGGCTTTTTAACCCATTTATTTCTTATTATGAATCACTGTGTGTGAAACCATTAGAATTTTTTATCGTTGGGTGTCTCTCTCAGTCTCTCTCTCTCTCTCTCTCTCTCTCAGTCTCTCTCTTGGCACAGGATGGTTCATTCATTCAATGGAGCAGGGTTTGGTTTTAACATTTGAAATTCAATCAAGCTGCTGCTCCATATGTTTATGTACAGTGCCACTTACAGTTGATCATTTGTTCTTGTTTAGAAACAGTATCTATTCAGTATTTGCCCACAAGCTTTTGTACACTGAATACAAATCTTAACTGAATAATAGACTAAAGTTCCTGTATATATAGCTTTTGTTTTAAATGCATGCATTTTTAATATGCATTTAAATGTGCATTATTATTATGTTATTTTTATATTTTCAGTTTTCATTTTAATATTAAAGTTTTAGCAATTTTGTCTTTTTACTAATTTTTTTACTTTAAATTATTTCTCAGTTTTAGTAATTGTAGAACTTAAATTTTAGTTTGTTTTTTATCTAATATTTATATTTTATTTTATCTTTATTTGAATCACTGAAAACAATTTTAAATAGTTTTAGTTAACAATAGCAACACTAGATGCATGTTTTAAATACATGCATTTGTAATATGCATTTAAATAAGTTTGAAGAAATCGATGCATTCATTGAAAAGATATAACTCAAAAGCTTTAGGTTTTATTTTTATATTTTCAGTTTTCATTTTTATTTTAGTTTAAGTTTATGTAATTGTATTGTTTTTGTGTTTTTATATCTATATCGCTTTATTTTTTATTTCAGTTCTAGTCGTTTTAAACTTACATTTCAGTTTTTCAGGTTTTTATTTCAAGTTTTTATTTTATTTCAACTTTATTGCAATTACTGACAATAATTTTTAATAGTTTTAGTTTGAATAAACAATAACAACACAATGCATGTTTTAAATTAATGGCATTTTAATATGCATTTAAATATGTTTGAAGAAAGTGATTTTTTTAATGAATCAGTTGTTCCAGTTCACATAATTGACTCTGAGTCTGAATGATTCATTCATAAATTGTACTGTTCTGTTCAAATCCTTGACTCAACAACCCATTTGCTAATTATTGCAAGATTATGACTTCAAATTTGACTTGTTTTGTAAAACTGATATTTTCAATGCAGTATTATTGTGAATTCAGTTTTAACTGCAACTAGATATGATTTGTAGAAATGATTCAGTCATTTTTTAAACTTTAACTTCATGAAAACATCTGAATCTGCACTCGTGTTTTAACACGTGCATCTTGCTTTTCTTTCTTATTCCATTAATTCTCCTCCTCTAGCGCTCTTAAAGCTGTCGTGTAGTAAAAACACCTTCAGGAATGTTTTATGGAGTCTGATAATAAACTGAGTGAACATCTGATTAAATGTAGGCAGCCGATTGAACACAGACTCATTTTCTCTCTCTCTCTCTCCGTCCAGGATGCCGTTGGTCTTCACACTTCTCTGCCTCTGCGTTTTAAAGATGGGCAGATTCTCCGCATCTGTCACTCAAGCCACCGTCCAATCAGGTGAGAGTCGAGTCTGATTAAGCGGCTGTGATTGGTCGGTCTGTGACCAGTGAAGGATGAATCCTCTATTGCTCTCTTGCCCAGAGACTATAGCCATCCTCCTAATCTATCAGCAACCAATCAGATCTCACATTTGAATAATTGATCCAATCAGCAGCCTCACATTAGATCTTCCCACCAATCAGCAAGAGCGTCTCCAGAGGTTTGTGTTAAATCACAGAATCTACATCTGCATCTACAGAAATCATGCTGAATGATGCAAAATAAAAAAAATAAGAACGAGTGAATAAATCTGGTGTAAATGTTTATAAGGCTGATGGAAATAGGTGTTTTCCAGTTCATTTTTAAGCTTTGATTATCTAGGGATGATTTTTTTGCATATTTTGAAGGACACAGAGCAACAATGTGGTCAGATGTTTTATAGTCACTGTAGTTCTATAGTTTTTTTTTTTTGTTTTGCTTTATAATTTGTTACTTTATTTTCATTGCTGTTTGCTTGTTAACTAAAACCAGAAAAACAAAAATAAACAAACTGCAATAAAATAAAATATTAAAAAACGTATTTTATTTCAGCCAAGGTAACATTTATCTTTTTCATTTAGCTTAACCTGAAGTACTAAAAGAACTAAAACTAATAAATAATAATGAATAAAAACTATATAGACATTTAAAATAAACTAATGAAAATGACAAAAACTTACAAAAAATTACTAAAACTTTCAAATCAATGTAAAAATAAAATCTAATTCAAAATATTAGCAAAAATTATACTAGTATATCAAGGATACTAAATTAATACTTGAATTTAATACGTTAACATGCATGCAGTATCGTTTTACTATTATTATTAATATAGTAGTATTTATTCATATTTTGAATTTCCTTTTATTTTTGGATTTTCAGTTTATTTTAATTTTAAAACTAAAAAAAGTAAAACATTTTAGTAATTTTGTTTTGTGCTTTTGTCATTTTAATTCGTTTTTGCTTTTTGTTTTAATATTTCTAAATAGCTTATATAATATATTTATTTAAGATTACTTACTTAGGGTTAGGCAACATTTCTCAAATTTACTGTAATTTTTTAAGTTTTTCATCTCATATTTATATTATAAAATATTTATATTTTACCTTATTTCAATTGCTGAAAATGGTTTTTAATCTTTTTAGTTTTAATTAACAATAACAACGCTAGATGCATGTTGCATGTTAATGGAGAATTGGTTTCCTCATTAAAAATAAAACCAAATAAAGTGAAAAGTTGTTCTGAAAGCTTAAAGATGATCAAGACTTTTTACAAAATCCTTTTAAACAACATTAAACATTCAAAAGCAGACAAGAATTTTGTGCAATCTTCCAAAATGAGGTTAAACATCTAAAAATCTGATTACAAACCACCGAGAAGCAATTCAATGATGCCCAGGAAGTGATGTTTTCTTCTAAGCCGGTGTGTTTTATAGGCTGTCTCAAACCGAAGGTGTTGCCCAGTGAGGCGATGGCTTGACAGACGACGTGATGTATGAAAGCGCCTCCTAAAGACAAGACACCGGCTCTCAGAGCACCTTAACGTCACGTCTAATGATCTAGAACACATTCGAGCGAGTTACAGCAGTAACCAAATAGCGCAGAGATCTCATATTGATACATGAATAAAGCAACAGCAGCTGTTTTCAGCTTTCGTCCAGCAGCTGTATCACATGTGCTGTTATATGTCATAATATTAGCGCGGTCATGGGATTACGGGCCGGTTGCAGCTCTGGAAGCAGAGGTTAATTAAAAAAGCTTGCCGCTGCAGGACAGGAAATGGATTGTTCCAGAAGGGGGTCATTTATAATGGCGTGCGGTGTGTGTGAGCGCTCGCACTAAGACACTCTTAATAGGAAGACTAATCCCCTCCCAGTCGCAAAGTGACAGAGCAATTACACACACACACACACACATGTGTGTGGTTTATGCAGTGTCATTGATTTGGGATGGTAATTTATTTAAATAAACTTTTTGATATTCGCAGGATCAGCATTTAAACCCAAACAGATCAGCTTATCTTTCATTATTTTATAGAAATTGCATTTTCATGAGTGTGTTTCTGTGAGCATGTGTAAATTAAGCATGCTACTATGATGCATGCATTATTTATATGCTACTATAGTAGTTTTAAATGTCTTGAATTGGCTTTTATTTTCATTTATTTTAATTTATTTTAATTATAGTTTTATTAATTTTTTTGTGTTCTTACATCATTTTTATTTTTTTATTTTTTTAAACTATTGTTTTTTTTTTGTAAATTTTTTTTTTTATATAGCTGTATTTTACTTAAATTTCAGTTTTAGTAATTTTATTTTATTTTATTTTTATGTTTTTGGTTTTTATTATAGTTTTAGTAATTTTGTTACACTTTTATTATTTTATTATTATTATTTTTTATATTTCTATATAGCTTTTTTTTTTAAATTTTCAGGTTTAAGAATTTTAGTATATGTTCTGATATAATTATTATGTCGTATATTATTAATTATTTAAACTCAAACAGATCAACTTAGCTTTGATTTTTATAATTGTATATATTTTTTATTTTTTTAAATAATTGTGGTTTTTATTTTTCATTTATTTTAATTTTTAAGTGTTTTTACTAACAGTGTCGTGTAAACATGGCTGAAGATGTGAAAAGCGGAGAAACAGACAGACCAATTCAATTGAGAGAGTCATTTAGATTGGAACTGCTCTGATTGATTCAAAATCGTGACTTTGATGATTCAGTTTCGACATCGCTTGTAATGATTTTCAAAAGCACGTAGTGATGGGATAAATAAACCGAGCTTTTAGAATCTCTGAATCAGTGAAACCATTGTGTCGCAAAACGATTCACTGCTTTGAAGCACTCCATTCAGATCGTGTATCGTGAATCATTTGATTCAGATCGGAACTTCAGAGTGTGTATCACGAATCATTTGATTCAGATCGGGACTTCGAATCACAATCTTTTTTTCTGATTTCTTTGTTATTAAACAGTACAAAACATCAAACCATTAAGGCAGTACTGTTAAAAAACAAAACAAAGAAAGAATACACAAATACAAATCCCTTAAGAAAATTAACCATGGTTTTATTATAGTAAAAGTGTAGTAACGTGGTGTAGTATTTTTATATATCTTTTTATATAACCACAGTTTTACTATAAATATTATCAGTAAACACGGAGACTGAGATGGCAGAAAGCAATCCCTGTTTGTTTTCTTCATTTTAAAAAATAAAGGTTTGTAACGTTTTGTTGTTATTGTGGGTGTCTTACTCGTATGACCAAGAGTTGAAGCTCTTTCCGCTGTTTTTTTATCAGAATTGCACCGAGAAGCGCAGTAGCCTACTTTTTGTGCTCTATACGAGTTGTTTCTTTTTTTATTTAAGTTTTAGTAATTTTATTACTTCAATTTCAGTTAGTTGCCATATAGTTAATATAGTTAACTAAACCTAAAACCTTCCAAAAATAGTTTTGTTACTTAAAATGAAAGAAACTGTTATTGAAATCAAATATTTTTAAAACCTTTTGCAGAATTTATCATTTTCATTTAGTTTAACTTGATATACTGAAATAACAAACTAAAACTGATGAAAACACACAACAAAATTAATAACACTGATTGCCAAGGTATCATTTATAATTTTGATCTAAGTTTTAAGTGTTTGTTATGCAGTGTCAGTTTGATTTGGGATGGAAATTTATTTAGATAGACTTTTTGACGTTTAGCAGGTTCAGCATTTAAACAAATCACCTTATCTTTCATTATACTGTACTGCGCTTGCATACTGTAAGTGTATTTCTCTTTGCACGGTGAGCATGTGTGTGAGAGAGAGAAAGAGAGAGAAAGAGCGTGCCTAGGTATTAATTTCATATTGCTGTATTAGTTGCTGATGTGTGAGTTTTAAGCTGTAATTGATTCGGCCTTTTTAATGTTTTAACTTTTACACCATGTTCATGTCATAAATTTGATAGCTCAATTACCTAATATTGATTTGCACGCAATAATGTGTGCGTGTGCAAGGGTTTGAGTGTACAAGTGCGTGTTTGAGCTCATGCAGAGGAAATTTTATTGCTCAGATGTTTCGCTTTCATAGCTCAGGGGATGTAATGGAGTTATTAGTTATGTTCTGTTGAAGTACATTACCGGTCAAAAGTTTGGAATAATTATTTTCAAAAAATGTTTTAAAAGAAGCCTCTTCTGCTCACCAAGGCTGCTTTTATTTGGTCAAAAATACAGTAAAAACTGTAATATTATAAAATATTATTACAGTTTCAAATATCTTCTGTGTGAATATCTGTTACAATGTAATTGATTGCTGTGGTCGAAGCTGTATTTTCAGCATCATTACTCCAGTCTTCAGTGTCACATGATCGTCAGAAATCATTCTAATATGCTGATTTGCTGCTCAAGAAACATTCATTATTATTGTAAATGTTGAAAACAGTTGTGCTGCTCAATATTTTTCAGAAAACCATTCAAAAGTTTGGGGTAAGTAGAAAGAAATTAATACTTTTATTCAGCAAGGATGCATTAAATGTATATATATTCTACATTGCATCACAGGAATAAATTACATTTGAAAAATATATTCACTTAGAAAACACTTCTCTTAAACTGTATTATTTCACAATTTTTACTGTTTTTGATCAAATAAATGCAGCCTTGGTGAGCAGAACATACTTCTTTCAAAAACACTAAAAATCTTAATTGTTCCACTCTTTTGACTGATAGTGTATCAACACGTTTCTCCTAAAATTCCATGGGAAGAGTAAAAACAGACATATTTGAGTCAATAGCTGTCATGCATTAACAGTATAGAGCTATAGAATCAATACAGAGCAGCTCAGATCATTTGATGTTCATATTGAGATCTCTGACTTTTGTTTGCTAGCTTTCTATTTTTGGGAATTCTGAATCTATGAGATTACGGAGGTGTGTCTGTGAGGTTGTTTGTGTTGTGTTTGTGTGTTTCAGACATTCAGTGTCATGACTGGGGCGTGTGGAGCGAGGGTTCGGTGCGGGTGTATGACGGGGAGGTGGCGTATCTCTACTGTCCGCTCTTCTCTTATCCCACGCTCTACAGCTACAGTCAGACTCAGAACAGCAGTCTGTCTCTGCTGTGGTACCGACACACACACACACACGAGCTGGAGCAGCCCATCAACCTCAAACTACACACACTGCACAAAGACCGCGAGTACCTGTGGATACAACCGGCCTCGGCGCAGGACGCCGGACTCTACATCTGCATGCTCCGGTAAACACTCACACTGTACATACTACACATACTAGAGATGTGCACAGCCACATGCATTCAAACTGACTAGCTGCTGGTGGGGTGTCTGAATGGTTAAACAACTAGTCTTAAGGAAGCTGGATTAGTCTGATTTAGGGTGAACACAAATACTGTACATCACATTATGGAAGTATAATGGGTTAGTGAATGAGGTTTCATGCTGGTAATATCATGATAACTAATTCCTGCAACCCGCAATGTATTCTTAAAATCAGTTTTCAGTGGCATTTTGTACTTGTAAGCTTCAAAAGCAGGTGTACAGTAATATATGTGAATTCAAATCCCATATGTGTCAAAATTATAAATGACATATTTAATATAAAATAATATAATATAAATGTAATTTAATATTATCTAAATATAAATGCGTAACCAAATCATGCAGTAGGAAAGAAAGAAAGAACGAAAGAAAGAACAAAAGAAAGAAAGAATATAAAAATAGTATAAATGTATAAATACATTTATAAGTATACTGTTTATTTATTTATTTATTCATTCATTTATTTATTCATTTATTTTAAATATTTTATTTAAATGTAACAAAATCATGCACATAATGATATATGATATAGTATGATACAGTAATATAATATAATATAATATAATGTGAAAAATGTATGAAAATATACAACCAGATAATGCAGGTAATTTCAATATGTTGTGTTAATAATATAATATAATATAATGTGAAAAATGTATGAAAAATACAACCTGATAATGCAGTTAATTTCAATATGTTGTGTTAATAATGTAATATAATATAATATAATATAATACAATATAATATAATATAATATAATAAAACATTGGAGACTATCATAATTAAATATGATACTGAAAACTCATCCAACCGTTATGAAGCAAATGAATTTCTTAATCTCCAGAGTCGCACAGCTAATGAACTGAGAGGACGTGAACTCAAACAATCAGCATCATTCAGTTTAAAGGTTGTGCGTGAGCAAAACTATAAAAATGCAAATCAGCATTGGCAATTTGTCTGTTTAAAGAGTCGTAACAATGCAAGAAACGACCTGTAACGATATGAACAAAGATGTGTTATCTATATGCTAATGTTCTAAAAGACTAAATACTAACACGTTTAAAATGCACAACTATATAAAGTCCTAATGAACCACTGCTGTTGGAATAAATGAATTTGAACTTTTTGAAACTTTTGGAATTTGAAGATCAAGGTAAATTGTACTTAATTTGTCTTCCGGGAAACATGCAAGTATCTTCTGTTGCTTCCGAAGGGAAGTACTAAATGGAAAAAAAATGATATTTCAACAAAATAAGAAAAATTTCGACATTTTCATCCTGTTCAAAAGTTTTTGACTCTTAGGCTCTTAATGCATCGTGTTTCCTTCTGGAGCATCAGTGAATGTTTGAACCTTTTTTAATAGTTGTGTTTGAGTCCCTCAATTGTCCTCAGTGTGAAAAGATGGATCTCAAAATCATACAGTCACTGCTGGAAAGGGTTCAGATATGCAAAAGACGCTGGAAAACTGAAGAATCTGCAGGAAATGGAGGATTTTTCTGAAGAACAGTGCTCAGTTTAACTGTTCAGAGCAAACAAGGGACTCATGAACAACCATCATTAAACAAAAAAAACAGGCATGGATCATCCAGGTAACCACACGCAGTATTAAGAACCAAGGGTTCCCAAACTTTTGAAGGGGGTTATTTTAATAATTTTAGCTATTTTTGTTTTGTGGACTATATGTAAACATCATTTATGTAAAATATCTTACTCAGGACAGTACTAAATAAAAAATAACATGCATTTTGTATGATCTCTCTTATTTT